TCTCAGGGGGGCCCCCCTGTACCCTCCCGGGGGGGCCCCCCCTGGGGGCCCCCCCGGGGGGCCCCCCCCCGACCCCTCGCAGCCGCCCCCAGGGGCCCCCCAGGCAAACCCCCAGCAGGACACCCTCGAGGAGGCCCCTGCCTGTGGGGCCCCACAGCTGGGGGCCCCCCGGCAGGGGCCCCCAGCACCTGTGGGGTGTCCAGAGCCAGGGACCCCACAGTGTGCGGCCCCACAGGGGGCCCCCCCGGGGGCCCCTAAAGAGGCCCCCGGGGGGGCCCCTGGAGGGGCCCCGGGGGAAGCTCTTGGGGAGGCCCCTGAGGAGGCCCCTGAGGGCGCTTCTGAGGGAGCCCCCCTTGAGGGGGCCCCGGGAGGGCCCCCTGAGGGGCCCCCTCGGGGGGCCCCTCAGGGGGCCCCTTGGGGGGCCCCCCGGGGGGCCCCCGGGGCCCCTTGTGCGCCTCCAGTTTTTTTAGGGTTTCCCGAAGGCAGCAGAGCGCGGGATGGGCGGGCGAAGCCGCCAAAGTTGGGTCTTTTCCAAATAGCAAAGAAGGTGAGAAATAAATAAAATAAAACAAAATAAAATTAAATTAAATTAAAAAATCAAAAAGAATAAAAAGAATTAAAAAGAATTGAATAAGTGCTGCTTGAGACAGTCCAAGGGGCCGCAAACTTGCAGCAGCCATGCAGACCCAGCGAACGCCCGCGCCCTCCTGCTGCTGCTGCTGCTGCTGCTGCTGCTGCAGCTGGGTTTGTTTTTGCTGCCAGTCTCCATCGTGGGGGCCCACAAGCTGCAGCCAGTGGGGGCCCCCCTGCCGCTGCCGACGGAGACACCTCTGGAGCTGCACATTCACCCCGCTGTGGACACAAGAAACAAACCTGTGGTCAGCGCCTTGCTGCTGCTGCTGCTGCTGCTGCTGCTGCTGCTGCTGCTGCTGGTGGCAGCAGCAGCGCTGCCTCGGCGGGGTCTTTCTGTTGTCCCGCCCTGTGCGTTTGTTGGGTTTGCTTGTTGCTGCTGCTGCTGCTGCCGCTGCCGTTGCAACTGCTGCTGTTGCCGCTGCTGCCGCTGCCCTTGCAACTGCTGCTGTTGTTGCTGCTGCTGCTGCAGGAAGAAGCCGCACGAGAGACGTGGGAAGCTGTTGTCCGTGGTCTCCCCCCAGAGCAGAAGCCCCAAAGTCCGATTCAGATTTGACATGCAGCAGCAGCAGCAGCAGGAAGAGCAGCAGCAGCAGCAGCAGCAGCAGGAACAGCAGCAATAACGGACGCAGCAAGAGCACCAGAAGAGCAGCAGCAAAGCAGCAGCAGCACCTTTTCCAACGGCAGAAGCACTAGCGACACTAGCAGCACGAAGAAAAAAGGCTGCTGCTGCTGCTGCTGCTGCTGCTGCAGGCGCTGCGGCTGCTGCTGATGCTGCTGCTGCTGCTGCTGCAAAGGCAGTGCAGCAGACAGCTGGCTGAGCAGCAGCAAGCGTTCCTTGGCGTGGTTTGAGCTGGGTAGGAGGAAACTCCTAAACGCTAAACCCTAAACCCTAAACCCTAAACCGTTGCAGACACAAGCCTTTTGTTGACAGTCGCGCAGAGATAGCAGCAGCAGCAGCAGCAGCAGCAACAACACAGAAGCAAAAAGAGGCAAGAGCTTCAAAGGGACAAAAGAACGGAAGAAAACAGAAAAGAAAAGAAGACAGAAGGCAAAGAGGGAGACAAAGGAGACACGGAACTCAGCAGCAGCAGCAGCAGCACTTGCTGCACTTGCTGCACTTGCTGCTGCTGCTGCTGCTGCAGCTGCAGCGGCTGCGGCTGCGTACAACCAGGCGAGAGCAGCAAACCCTAGCAGCAGCAGCAGCAGCAGCAGGGGAGACAACAAGTTGAGAATAAGGGGATATCTGAATAGCAGTAAAATTTAGGAGACAAATAAGGAGACACGGAAGTTAATTAAATTAAATTAAATTAAATTAAATTAATTAATTTGATTGAATAAAGAGACACAAATAAAAAAACACAGAAGCAGTTGCAGCAACACAGAAGCTAAGGACACAAAACAGCAGCAGCAAATGTGCAGCGCAGCAGCAGCAGAGGCAGCATGGAAAACCCGAGATTTAAGCTAGGGTTTAGGGTTTAGGGTTTAAGGTTTAGCGCGTATGGTCCCGCCAGGGATTAGGGTTTAGGGTTTAGGGCCTTCCTAGGATTTAAGGTCTAGGGTTTAGTGCCTAGGGCATAATGCTTGAAGCTCAAAGGCTATGTTTCTGGGGTTTAGGGTTTAGGGTTTAGGGTTTAGGGTTTAGAGTTCTGGCTGGTGTCGGCGGTTGCTGCTCCCCGCGCGCCACAAGATAGATAAAGATGAATAAAACAAAAGAATTAAAATAAAAAGTAAAAGGTAAAACGTAAAACGTAAAAATAAAAGGGCAAAGTTAATTAAACAAACCCTAATCGCAAACCCTAAACCCTAGCGTCTGCCGACTGCGACTTTGCGCAGCAAGTAGGCAGGAGCTTCCCGGGGTCCACTTGGGTCCTTCTTCGAGTTTTTTAAAATTTATGAAAAACAAATAAACAAAATAAATCATTTGACGGAAAACTGCGTCCAATTAGCTCCCCGCGAGCCCGGGAAGCTGCCTATACACCCTGCGCTCCCCGCTGCACCCGACAGCTTCGGGTGTACGTACACCTCAGCTATGGCAGCCTTTGCTGAATTCGCTCTTTGCCCAGAACTCGTTTCTGCAACAGAAGACGAGGGCTGGGCGCTTCCCACGGCCATTCAGGCCGAGGCCATCCCCCTCATCTTGGGCGTAAACCCTAAACCCTAAACCCTAAACCCTAAACCCTGGGCTGTAAGCCCTAACGCGAGTCCCTCGCCGCGCCCCTGGGCCGCGGGCTGCCGCGGGGGCAGCTCGCGGCTGCAGGGGGCGCGGGGGCGGTTGTTGCGCCTCCTCCGAGGGTTTAGGGTTTAGGGTTTAGGGTTTGGGGTTTAGGGTTTGGGCTTTGTGCTGCTGCAGGGAGGCGATGTGTGCGCAGCAGCAGAAACTGGCAGCGGCAAGACTGCAGCATTTGTGCTTCCTTCGCTGCAGCTGGTTCATGAGGCTTTACGGGGCGTTGCTGTTACTCCAGCAGCAGAAGCAGCAGGAGTAGTGGGAGCAGCAGCAGCAGCAGCAGCGCCTGCTCCTGCCGGAGGTGGGCACCTCTGCTGCTGCTGCTGCTGCTGCTGCTTCTCTGGGCCGTGGCACTGCTGAGGCTGCTGCTGCTGCCTCGAGTGCTTCTGCTGGCCCGTGGCTGGCTTGGGCAGTGCAGCAGCTGCAGCTGCGCTCATTGTTGCTGCTTCTGCTGCTGCAGCAGCTGCTGCTGCTGCAGCAGCTGCTGCTGCTACATGCGCCGTGTACTTGAGGTGTGCGTACGCCTCAGGGGCCGCAGGTTGGCAGACTGATGGCAGCGACCGGGACATGCAGATCATTTGGACCCCACGCCCAGCAGCAGCAGCAGCAGCAGCAGCAGCAGCAGCAGCAGCAGCAGCAGCTCCGCCTATAAATCTAGTGTGCACTGACGCAGACAACTGGAGGGGGTTCAGAGCCCCAGCAGACATCTACAGGGGCAAATATGCGGTCAGTACGCAGCAGCAGCAGCAGCAGCAGCATGAACTGCAGCAGCAGCGGTAGCAGCACGAGATACAGCAGCAGCAGCAGCAAATAGCCTTGCGGCCTGTTCACGAGCTTTGAAACTAATTGCTGCAGCGACAGCAGCAGCAACAGCAACAGTGAATGGTCTCACGGCCAGCGCACGAGCGTTCAAGCTAGCAGCAGCAGCAGCAGCAGCAGCAGCAGCAGGGGTTGGGGCTGGGTGTGCTTGCAGTTTGAGGTGTACGTACACCGCGGGCTCGTGCGCGTGGGCTTCGGCAGCAAAGCGCGTTCTAGGGTTTTGGGTTTAGACATTTTTTCTTTTGGTTTTGGAAGCACTGGAAAGAAGAGCTGGAACGGGTCCCAAACCCTAAACCCTAAACCCTAAACCCTAAACCCTAAACCCCACAGGTGGTTTTTTCCGGGCGCCAACTCTGGCCGCGGCTGCAGCTCTCGTGGGCAGTCCCTGCTGCGTCACTTCGCCCAAAGGTTTAGTCAGCTGAGGGTTTAGGGTTTAGGGTTTAGGGTTTAGGGTTTGCATGCAGGAAGTTCCTTGACTACGGCTGTCCGTTTGGGCCTGGCGACGCAGTGGGGTGCGTAATCGAGCGCGACAGCAGCAGCAGCAGCAGCAGCAGCAGCAGCTGCGGCTCCGTTTCTTTTTATATAAATGGAAGACCCATGGGAGTTGCTTTTCCCCTTCCTGCTGCTGTTGCAGCAACCCCCCTGCGTCCGGGGGTTTGCGGCAAGGGTTTCGAGGTCCCAAACCCTAAACCCTAAACCCTCGACGGCGAACCCTAAACCCTCGTTTCTAGATCCCTGCATGTACCTTTAAAGAAATGGACGAACTGGGCGATCGGGGCTTCGGCGTAATAGGGTTCGGAACTGGCCTCTTTTTAGGGTTTAGGGTTTAGGGTTTAGGGTTTAGGGTTTAGGGTTTGGTGCGCAGGTGGATGTGCGATTCTCTAACTTTTTATTTCCCATAGAAGGCGTGGCCGAAGTGGGGCAGCTGACGAGGACCGACTCACTGCCTGCTGCAGGCAGCGGCAACAGCAGCAGCAGCAGCAGCAGCAGCAGCAGCAGCAGCAACCTGCTGCAGGGCTCCGGGCCTCTCTGCATCTGCATCGCCCCTACCCGCGACCTCGTCATTCAAACTTACAATTGCTACAAGCAGTTTGGTGGGGCTGCTGCTGCTGCTGTTGCTGTTGCTGCTGCTGTTGCTGCTGCTGCTGTTGCTGCTGCTGCTGCTGCGGTTGCTGCTGCCCTTCCTGCCGCTGCTGTTGCTGTTCGTGAGATGAGTGCGCAGCTTCAGTGTGCAGGCCACTACGAGCATAGGGGGCGCGTACATAAGTACAAGGGTATAGGGTTTAGAGTTTAGGGTTTAGGGTTTAGGGTTTAGGGTTTGGCCGCTTCAGGGAGAGTGTTGGAGAACCCCCGTCTCATCATAGAGTCGTGTGTTGGTGGGGGTCCAGGCGGCGGCTCAGCTCACAGGACAGACTTTAAAAGTGTGAGCAGGGTTTAGGGTTTAGGGTTTAGGGTTTGAAGCTTCTGGGGAGTTGCATGAGGGTTTAACTTCCCTGGAGAGTCTGGTTCTGAAGAGCTCAGTGTCTCAGAGCCCTTGAAGGGTGCCTTGTTCCGAGCGCCCAGGGTCTAGGGTTTAGGGTTTAGGGTTTAGGGTTTGTGTTTAGACGGACGTGCTGGTGGGGACTTTGGACAAAACCCTCGAACTCGCGAAGCGGCGGCAAATTCCTCTCAGCCGTTTGCAGCTTTTAATAATTGACGAGGCCGACGAAGTGGTCAAGGACCAGGGCGCCAAGAAGCTCCACGAGTAGGGTTTAGGGTTTAGGGTTTAGGGTTTAGGGTTTAGGGTTTAGGGTTTAGGGTTTGGGGCTTGGGGCTTGGGGTTTGGGGTTTGGGGTTTGAGGTTTGAGGAGGGTTTGCAGGGGTTTCCCGACGCTGTTCTTTGGCTATTCCCGGGCCCTCCTTTGCTTTCCTGGCCCTCCCAAGGGTTTAGGGTTTAGGGTTTAGGGTTTAGGGTTTAGGTTTGGGGTAGCGGTCACGAGGGTTTGCAGTGGCGTTTGGTCCCCGTTCTTTGGCTGCCCGGGTCGCACTTCGCGTTGCTGGCCCGCGCTAGGGCTTAGGGTTTAGGGATTAGGGTTTAGGGTTTAGGGTTTAGGGTTTAGGGTTTGCGCAGGCTGCAGCTGCTGGGTCTGGGGGCTGCGGGGCGGCGGCCGCAAACCCTTTTTTTCTCCGCGACGCTGCACTCTGCTGCTGCTGCTGCTGCACTGCAGCTGCTGGCTCCTGCTGCAGCATGGGCGGACTTGAAGGGTTTGGCGGTTTTGCCAGATGCAGCAAGAGTCGCTCTTTATTCCCTCGACCCTTCTCAGGTCTGCTCCAGCCCCAAACGCATGCAAAACGCATGCAAAACGCATGCAAAACGCATGCAAAACGCATGCGAAACGCATGCAAAACGCATCCGCAGCGCGAAGCCAGAAAGAGACACCACAAATAGCAAAATGCACACACACAAATGCACCCACACACGCAGCAGTCCAGCATGCATGCATGCATGCATGCATGCATGCACGCGTGCATGCATGCGGGATTGCATGCATGCATGCATGCAAATAGACCTGCTGGCAGATAGCCAAGCAGGCAGAGGCAGTGGCAGCGCGTCGACATGCATGCATGCATGCATGCATGCATGCATGCTTGGACGCATGCAGGGGCACCAGCCAAAGATCGCATGCACACCATGCATGCGTGCATGCACACCATGCATGCATGCATGCATGCATGCATGCGTGCGTGCATGCGTTTTGGGGCTGCATGCATGCGTTGTTGACTCAGGGGCTGCAGTGCGCGCTTCCCTTCGACGCCTCTGTGGGGCCCCCCGAGACTGACGGGGTGCATGTGGGGCAGGTAGCAGCAGCAGCAGCAGCAGCAGCAGCAGGTGCTGCTGCTGCTGCTGCGGTGAACTGCAAGGACCCCGACTTCTTGTCCTGCCGAACCAAGTACCTCAAGCCCCAAGTACCAAACCCTAAACCCTAAATCCTAAACCCTAGCTGCGCCCCTGCGGAGCCAAGCGCCTCAAGCCCCAACTACCAAACCCTAAACCCTAAACCCTAAACCCTAGCTTTGCCGCTAAAGCGCGAAGCCCAAAGCCTCTACCAAAGCCCGTGGCGTCTGCGAGTTGGCCTCTCTCCGCCCATCCCCAGCCGCAAACCCCAAACCCTAAACCCTAAACCCTAAACCCTAAACCCTAGGCTGCTGCTGCTTCGCAGGCGGCAGTGGCCATCGCAGATGCCCTCAAGATGGACTCTTGCATGATTGTTTGTCGAACTAATCAAGACTGCGATTTAATGGAGAAGTTTCTTTTGAAGTTGGGGGGCGGCAAGAAGTTTTCAGGCGAGGGTTTTGTCTTTTCTTTTTCTTTTCTTTTTCTTTTCTTCTTGCTTCTTCGCCCTTGTTTCTTTGTTTCTTTGTCTCTTTTTCCGCTTTCTCAAAGCTTCTTTTTTCGCTTTTTTGGTGCCGGCAACCCTAAACCCTAAACCCTAAACCCTAGGCGCTAAACTGAACGCCACTGCTACAAACCCTAAACCCTAAACCACAAAAGCTGCTTCTGCTCACCTCGCTCTTGTTGCCAGTCTTTGTTGCAGTCCTCCCGCTTTCGGTGCAGGGATTCAGGTCAGGGGCTAGGGTTTAGGGTTTAGGGTTTAGGGTTTGCTGTTTTCTTTTTTAGGAAAGATGGAATCTGGAAAGGAAAACCCCTACGCATGCGTCGTCGTTGCAGGCATGCGTTCGAACCAAGAGAGATATGCCAACCTTGAGGTGTCTATACACCTCAAATAGCTGCCCATACACCTCAAATAGCTGCCTATACACCTCAAATAGCTGCCTATACACCTCAGTTATCTGCCTGTACACCTCAAATAGCTGTCTATACACCTCAAGTAGCTGCCTGTACACCTAAAATAGCTGCCTATACACCTGAAGTAGCTGCTCGCGTGCCTGAACTTGGCTTTAGTGTTGTAACTCTCTTCTTTCTTTTTCTTTTTTTACAAATCAAATTGAAGTAGAGGTTTATTTTCATTTCATTCCTGCTGCTGAGGAAAATCACAGAAATGTTTGTAAAAATACTTGCAAATATTTCATTTTTGCAGATGGAAAATAATCGCGCGCAAATGCTTTTATATTTGCGCATTTATAATCACATTGACACTAATAATAACTTAATAAGAACTTCTCAAATATTAAATTGTTTTTATATTTTAAAATGAAATGAAAAAGAAATTAAAAAGCGGAACCTTTGTGGCCTCTTTTTTCGGGTGTATGTACAGCACTTCAAAGCGGGAGATGCGCGTTTTTTGATTTGCACAGATGTGGCTGCAAGAGGAATTGACATAAAGGTAATTTGATTCTTTTCATTTTATATAAGTTAATTCTTTTTATTCTTTTTATTCTTTTTATTCTTCCCTGGGGGCCTCTCTAGTTCCAATCCCTAAACCCTAAACCCTCAGCTCCCTCGCGCAGCGCCGCTCGTGCGAAACTCAAAAACGGCTCCTGCTTGGGAGTTTAGGGTTTAGGGTTTAGGGTTGGGGGTCTGGGGCTGCGCAGAGCTGCTCCGAAGGCCAGTGCCGAGGGATTAGGGTCTGGGGTTTAGGGTTTAGGGTTTAGGGTTTGCGCAGAATCCCTGTTTCCTGAAAACGCCGAGTTTAGGGTTTAGGGTTCTAAATTCAGGGTTTGGAGCTGGGCTTCAGGGTTTGCTCAAAATATCCTCAGACAGCCACGGCCAGGGTCTAGGGTTCAGGGCTTAGGGTTTAGGGTTTAGGGTTTAGGGTTTAGGGTTTGCGCAGAACCTCCCTTTTCTTATAATGCTGACTCTGCCGGATTCGCCCGAACAGTTTTTCCACCGCGTGGGCCGCGTGGGCCGCGCGGAGTGTATGGGATTGGCGGTTTGCATAGTTTCTACTCACAAAGAGAGGGTTTGGTAAACCCTAAACCCTAAACCCTAAACCCTAAGCCCTAAACCCCAGGTCCTCGGGCCCAATGGCGTGGGCTCTAGGGCCCGAGGGCGTGGGGCGTAGGGCGTGGGGCCTCGGCCCGGGCCCGGCTTCGAAGCAGCAGAGCTGCCTAAACCCTAAACCCTAAACCCTAAACCCTAGCTGCCCTGGCCGAAACCCTAATGTGCAGGCCCAAGCCCTGGCCGCCAAACCCTAAACCCTAAACCTTTCAGTTCCTCGCGCTGCACTGCGACTCTTTCCTTGACTTCTTGTCTTGCCTTAGGGTTTAGGATTTAGGGTTTAGGGTTTTGTTTTTTTTTAATTTCCTCTTCAGGTATCACTCTTGCCCTGACAGAGGGAGAGGCTGCTCCGACAGGCGGCTTGCCCAAGATGTGGGAACTAAACCCTAAACCCTAAACCCTAAACCCTCGCGCTGGATGAGCCCTGGGCTCTGGCCCTTTTCTGTCCTCCTGGAGACGCCCTTTGTCTCAACTGTCCAGCCCCAACCAGCGTCTAGGGTTTAGGGTTTAGGGTTTAGGGTTTGGGGTTTTGTCTGCAGGGTGGCTGCACCATTTGGTACGACGAGCCGCAACTTCTCGCAGGTGTGTTGTCGAGGGTTTAGGGTTTAGGGTTTAGGGTTTGGATTTCAGAGATAAGAACTTCGCGGGTAGGGGCTGTAGCTTGGGGTTTGGGCTTAACTTCAAGGGCCGAGGGTTTAGCGTTTAGGGTTTAGGGTTTAGGGTTTAGGGTTTTGCCCGCAGAGATCCAGCGCAAGATAGGCCAAGAGCTTCCCTGCCTCCACCCCACCTATTTCTACTACCCGGGTATTAATTAATTATTTAATTTAATTAATTTAATTATTTAGTTTAATTTAATTATTTAATTTATTTTTTTAATTATTTAATTTAATTATTTAATTTAATTATTTATTTATTATTATTTTGTCTGCAGGCATTGCCGACCCTTTTAAGAAGCTCGAAGACCCAGAAGACAGTGAGATTTTATTTGTCTTTTTATTTTTAGGGTTTAGTCAAATTTCTTTTTTAATCCTTTTTATTTCTTTTTGACTTTTCAAATTTCTTTTTTAATCCTTTTTATTTCTTTTTTATCTTCTTTTATTTTTTCTTTTTTTGTCTTCTTTCTGTCTTCTTTAAATATCTCTCTTTTATCTTTTTTTAATTCCATTTTAATCTTCTTTTTAATTTCCTTTTAATTCCTTTTTATCGCCATTTTAATTCCCGTTTGTCTTCTTTTTTGTCTTCTTTTTAGTTCCATTTAATCTTCTTTTTCTTTTTAATTCCTTTTGATATTTTTAATCTCCTTTCCGTGTCTTTGCATCTTCCCTCCGTCGTTTGAGCCTTTCTCTCGAGGGTTTAGGGTTTAGGGTTTAGGGTTTTGTGGCGCTGCAGACACCCGAAGACAGCGCGGCGCCGCAAAGCAGGCGGAACTTCCGGTGTATGGACAGCACAAAACTGAGCAGGGCAATGCTGCCACCCGCAAGCATCTCCAAGTAGGGTTTAGGGTTTAGGGTTTGGGGTTTAGAGTTTGTTGTCGCCGGGCGTCCACAGCAACAGCTGCAGACGCTTCCTAGGGTTTGCGAGGGTTTGGGGGCAGCCGACTCAGACTCCCCTGTGCTGCTGCTGCGTCTGCTGCTGCTGCTGCGTCTGCTGCTGTTGCTGCTGCTGCTGCTGCTGCTGCAGGAGATCGCCGCCTCCGTGTCTACCCTGCTGGCTTTAGAGAAACAGGCGCAGCAGCAGTTTATGATTATGACATCAACCAAGTGGCCATAAGCCTGCAGCTGCTGCTGCAGCAGCTGCTGCAGCTCCAGCTGCTGCAGCAGCTGCTGCTGCAGCAGCTGCTGCAGCTCCAGCTGCTGCAGCAGCAGCTGCTGCCGCTGCTACTATTTGCCTGCAGCACTAGCAGCCGCTGCCAGCCGCTCTATTGGCGTTGAGGCCAAAGCATCTGGAGCCAAGACTTAAACCCTAAACCCTTGCTCCTAAACCCTTATCTCTAATTTTAGCAGCTCAAACCTCAGGCACGCAGGCCAAGCTGCGCCGAGGGGGCCCCCCAAGGGGCCCCCTTAGTGAGGGGGGCCCCCTACGGGGCCCCCCTAGTGACGGGGGCCCCCCAGGGGGCCCCTTGGGGAGCCCCTCTTGTGGCTGCAGTGACCCTTCGTATGGGTCCTCTTGTTGCAAAGCTTTCTCAGTGGGGGCCCTCTCAGTTTAAGGG